CAGTTGGGGAGGTGGGAAGGAGCCGAGCTGGTGCCCAGGTAGGAGTGAGCGCACCAAGCAGAGTCCGCAGAGGAGGGCTGAGCAATACCCGTGTTCTGCACAGCTGCATACAACCAACACGCTGTCTTTCCTCTTCTGCAAGCGGAGTGGAGGCCGGAATTCATCTTCCATGTGCTGTTTACTCACAGAACTAAATTCCTCAGGTGTTTCATTACAATTACTATGGTTCACTTATTAACATTTATTTTAAACTGTGAACCTTAAATCTAGATGATCAATTTTCTCTCTAGAGGACTTTAAAACCCAACTGCTTTACATGCATTTATAGCTGAAAAGCTCCCTGCTGTCTATTACAAGTTAGAGATGTGCTACTCTCCAGCTCTTTTTGTTGTCCTCCCAGTTTTTCATTCCATAATCTCAAATTTCTGCAGATGGAGGGGAGCTGTGAGTTTGGTGGTGGGCAGGTAGAAAAAAAAAAAAACAAAAAACCAAATCACCCAGAGATGTAGGTACACATTGCAAGAGAAAATAAAAAGAAAAGCCTGAGATAATTCACAGTGACTGAAACCTGACAGGCCCCTTTAGTTGAGGAGCCTTCAACAGACCTCGAGGGAAATGATTTCCTCTGTTATTGTCAACAAAAGCTCTTTTTTTAAAAAAAAAATTCTCCCTCTAGATGTGGCCTCACAACCCTGCCCAACATAAATAAGACTAGTGATACTATTGGGCTTGCAAGGAATGCATTGTGCCTGCATGAATGCCTCTGCTCAGGGAATTATCATGGAAAACAGACCTCAGTCTGGAAGTGTCATCAGTTTTGATCAATCCTTTTTCTCCATCTGCCTGCTCCTGCCATTCCTTTGATCTGTTTGCAGAAGTGGGTTCTGATGACCCCATCTGCTAAGTAATCACCACTGCCCTTAGCCTCACCTGAAGTTCTGGAAACTGATCATCAAGAGACAATCAGTATTTATGGAGCAGAGCTGCACAGGGCAGTAATTGCAGAAGATGGAGGTTTGCTATTGCTGCCAAAGGTAAATGGCCAGTCCTGCTGTTCTTGAAACAGACAGTCGAGAGACATTCAGTGCTGTAGTATTACTGGCTGCTGTGCTACAGTATCTCCCAGCATATACACAGCACATACCAATGATTTTCAACACGTGCAGCATAATCAAACATCCACCTAATTAATGATTGTTATGATTAACAGCTTATGAGGTGCAAGATATATCACACAATATTACAAGAGATGTACAGACTACAGAGAAAGAATTAAATCTGAAAAACAGCTTTCACAAAGTCACATACTCTGATGGCCTTAGATTTTCAAGCTCAGTTGTATGAAAGAGTTTTCTCCCTTCCACATGGAAAGGCAGTACTTTCAGGGCATTTGCCCTGGATGTGTAAAAGCTTGAAAGTTTGTGAAGCTCTGGGGCACAGAGAGAGTATTGTGCAAGCACAGCCCCTGCTTTCCTGGGGAGAGGGGCTTCCTGTATACGGGGCATCAGTGCCTGTTGGTCAATCAGTGACCCCCTGATGCTGCAGCAGCAGCTTCCTCTGTCTGCTCCATGCAGTTCTTCCAGACACATAAATCCTGAAAACTTGTCCCACAGTGGTAAGTTCAGGAATGCAAAAGATAGATAGGGACAAACGAACTGGAGCAGCGGGGGCTTGTGATGAGAGGATTAGTGAGGCGGTGGTGCAGTCTTCTCCTAGGCAAGTGTAGGGGCTAGCACAGACTAGCACCGAGCCACTGCTGCTGGGATCCAAACTGAGGTTTAGAGAGTTCTGTACAGAGCTCTCATCCATTTAAATTGAATTTGAGAGCCTTTACAGAATCTGAGAAGTAAAGTTGGTGTGTGAACAATAAAGGTAGTCTGAAAAATGAGAATTGCTTTTAAAAAGGTATTTCAAAATAACATTTAATATTAGAAGAATTACATTCAAATATAGCATTGAATACACTTAGCCATTACTTAATGCTCTGTATTTCAAGTTCTGCTGTTCTTGGGCAGTTACCTTGGTTGCACCTACTATTTTTTTCCTTCAGGAAAGTGACATCCTTTTGAATATTTAAATATCCCTCCCTCTGTGTATCATGCACTGTTGCTATGCTGTCTCAAAGCTGAAGTATCCAAAAGAGAACGCCATGCTTGGTTATTCTGAAAACAGGCAATGAACTATACAGCAAAGCAAAAGCATTTTCTCTCCTGTTCTTCATACTGAGCTCTAGGCAAAAGTTTTTCAGATTAATCTATGGTTAAGTTATTCTGCTCAGTGTTAGAGCAATACAACCCTCCTTCATGTGGATTTAATGGCAGTAGCATAAGAAGTAAAATGACTACAGTTAGTCCCCTATAGAAAAGGAATAAAGTTACACTACGAGAGATACCTTTAGGCCTATATAACTGTGCCCCTCCACCACCCAAGTAGGACTTTTTTAATTAGACCCTTCTCCTCCTTATTCACATCCTATTTATGATAGAAGATCAGCTTGTATACTAAATTTTAAAGAACTTTTTCTTGTTAAGAATTAGATTCTGCTTCAGTGAAAGGATTCTGCAGGTCAGAAATATCTGAGGGCATTTCAAGCAGCCAGCTGCAGAACCACAGGACAAAGGTAAATGTATGTACAAAGGCAGCAGTTAGAAGCAAGTGGTATTTTTGTAGAAGGTAAGATCATCTTAGAAGTTAGGGATTTATACAGACTAAGTCACAGATTTTCTTTTTAAAGTTCACCACCACAGCTCGGGGGCACGGGAAGTGACTGATGTCCAGTCCCCTGCGCATCTGAAGTACAGGCAGCCAGAACAGGAAATGCCTTTTCAAAGGGAAGGATGACAAAACCCGTGATCTAAGTTACTGGTTCACCACCTCCAGTTAGCAAGGAAACTATGTGAAGACAGTGGTTTATAGCTTATGGGAGAATGTAAAACAAAAGGTTTGATGGCAAAAGTTGTCTTAGATTTTAATAGCCCATTTGACAACATCCCATCAGGATTTTAAGAAAAATACCCAAGTGTGGAATGCAACCACCAGAAAGCTGAAAGTGAAACTACCAAATCATCCTGAGTATTAGCAATGTTCTCTTTAAAAATCAAAGCTATGTAATGAACACAAACATTTAAAAAATACACTGCTCCAATTCTCAAGTAGTGCTTTAAAAGGGTAACCTTTCACTTGTACTCATCTAATAGCATTAGAGATCATTTATAAATTATATAATACAAATAATTCACATTCTTAGTGACTACACAATATTACACTTCAGTCTACCACTTTCCTTAACTGTAAAAATGCACATAAGCTATTCCAGTTTAGCATAAGCCTCTTATAGTATCATCTTCATAGAGCATTACAGCATTATAAATGTAAAGCACGTTGTTCAGTGTTTCATTATTTTAGTTTATAATCCAAAGTTGAAAACTTCATATATCTGTAGGTAAAAAATACTGCAGAGTAGCCTTCCATGTTTGTTGTGTGACTTTTGATAAAAATAAATCCCTGACCTCACAACCTGGTGACATTAAACCATACATTTTGTATGTCCTTTTTTAATTGGCAAAAACAAGAGTGGTGAAGGCCAATGCCCAGCATGTTTAACTCAGTTGCAATGTTCCAAATAACACAAGTAGCAAGTACCAGTCTGCAGATGTATTTTACAAAACCAATTTCTCTGGGGGCAAAAAAAAAAAAAAAAAAAAAAAAAGAGCAGACAAAGCTTTTTCACCATGAAAAATACAGTAAAATTCCCCTCCCGGAAAAAATAGCATTGCAAATTCAGTCAGATAATCCACTAGATACAAAATTTCAATGGAGTCCACTTCCTAATTTAAAAACCGTTCCACTAAGCCTGTTGTTGTATGTGTTTCTATGATGGTGTATATCTGCTGGCCGTCAGAATTGTCCTTCAGACATGCAGCTGTGCTGTTTGGTGGTAGAACTAATCCCTCTCTCCCAGGTCTTGAGCGGTGGTAGCAGTGCAGATCTGAAATAAGCTCCACCTCGAACATTACTGTAGTCACGGCACTGTGATGATCTCCCTACCTCTTGTAACACCTAGGAACAGCCAAATACATTCTTTTGTATAAAAAGCATTCATTAAAAAAAGAATTTTCTTTATTTTAATTAAGCTGTTGGTATACAGCAATTTATATTTTTACAGAATTATCTTCATTTAGTTGCATTTCAGAAGTTGCAAGGTGACCTTAGTGAAAAAACAAAGTTTTTTAATTTAAAAAACTGAACTGGAATATTTTTAGTCAATTAATTAAAATAAAAGCCCCTCAAGTAATGTCAATTATAAAATGTTAATGCATACGTTTGTCTTTTATGCATGCGTTTGTCTTTTATTTAGGCATCACTAATCCTGAAGAATGCTATTATGGTACAGAGCTGAAACGACAAACATGTTAAGTTTGCAGGTATTTGTGCAATGCTAAGACTTATAAAATACATGTTTGAAATTTAGGTATTTTGTTTAGAAGTTGGTAAGTTTTAGGACAAGTTAAAGAAAGGAGAAGTAGAAGCAGGCCTTAACCTCACCAAATGGCTTATCTGCAAACTGATTGTACACTGACATGCAATATTACTTTTTTCTTAAATTTACTTTCAGAATACAGTTCCAAAAGCAGTTTAAAATACTTACTTAAGAAGTTACTGGATAAATGGTACAGTTGCTACTTTCACCAGATCAAAAATATTCTTCCTTTATTTACAATATCTCTTTAATCCTTCACATTGAAAACAAGTAAAAGAATACAGTAACTATGATAAATTACCACTAAACTGTACTTCTTTTTTCCTCCCACAGGAACTGAAGAATCCTGCTTTTTAACACCAACTCAGAAGCCTGGATTATTGAAGAGCACTCCACAACAGCAGGAAGAAAACCCAAAATGTACTTTCAAAACTTTGAAAAAAAGAGGGGAAGAATTGCAGTAAAGTTTTCTCTTTTTTTCTCTATTTATTCACCACGAGACAAGTGTCCAATATGCAGATTAATTTTCCATGTTTTCAAGGAAGTCACATTCAACACTCTCTTCAAGCCGCTGCAAGATCTTTTTGCTGTTACTGCCAACAGAGTCCACAGAGAGAGATGCAGAAGTATCTGAATTCTGGGACTGACTCCCATTTGCTGTGAATGCACAACACAGAGTCTTGAAGAAGGGCATAAGCTGGATGATGCTCGATACAGAGTGGAAATTCAAAAGAGGACATTTGTCCTTGGAAATTCCTTCAGTGTTGTTTGTTCCCTGTAGGCAAACAAACTGAGATTTACTAAAGGTTTTGTATTAAGATGCAATGTTGTTATGGCTTGTCTGAACCCTGTACTATATACTTTTTTCATACTAAGAGATCTACAACCTGCAACTGAATCACAATATAAATTGTATAGATGGTATCGCAAGTTTTTTCTATGTTTGGATTTGAGGTTCCATTAAACAAAAACTCTCACAAGTTCAGAATGCTGCAAATGTTCAGAATCAGATATCAAACAACAGAATACAGAAATATCTCTGAGAAACACTAATGCCCCTATTTCCTTTTCTGGAATAATTAATATTAATCCTTAATGGTAATTTAAAATGCTATTATGGTAAACTTTTTTGACAAAGTACAACATGCTCCTTTTTATAAACACCAGTCCTGTCTGAGACAAATTGCTTTAGCTGGGTGGTTGTGGGCAGATTTAAGGGAACAACTGGTAAACTGCCTATTGTCCCCTCACTCAAAAGCAATCTGACATCTTCAAGATATATATATGAAAGCAGGCAGATAATTTTTTAAAGCCTCATTAATCTTATCAGAATATCTAAAAACCTCTTGCCTAACTTAAACTCTTGTAACTCATTTAGAAAAGTAAATTAATGGATTAAAAAAAAAAAAAAAAAAAGAAACATTCTTTCTTTACCCCATATTTCATCTTCAGCAGATCCATGATTCTTACAATGTGTGGTCTGCATTCCTGATGATTTTCTACCAGATGAGAGGTCACAGTGGATGACTCTATGTCCACCTCTGGAACAAATGCCCATTTGTACCTGAAACAAATGGATTACTTGGTAAGAAGACAGGCAGAAAAAATCCTTGTTGGGATCACACATAGTTTAGTGGAGCACTGGTTTGTTTACAGAAAGAGCTGTCATAACTATACATTTTATGCTATTATCAGAACCAAACTTAACGAACGAGGATGTTACTATCATGTCAGCAGTTAAATGCAACTGGCTTAAAAAAATTCCCAAGTATGAGCAATGGGAAAACAAAGAACAGTCTCTGTCTTTCTCTTCTCCCAGTTTTTCCAAGTTAGAGAACCTCCTAATGAGGATGGTGAAATCCTCCTACACTGACAAAACTCAATTGTTTTTCCAAATACCCCAAATTACATCTGTCTGAGTATCAACATCTGCACTTGTGAAAAGAACTGATGGCAAAACTAAGTCTAGAAGAAAATAGACCTGGAATTATTTTAAAGGATAAGGATGGCAACAAGTTGGAGAACAGGTAAGTAATTGGAGGACTTACATTTGAAATAACTGCATTCTGTCAGGTGGAAATGAAAGTGCTGTGTCCAAAAACTTACAAGCTGATAAGTACAAGGACAGCTCATTCTGCTGTATGTCAGATCCACTGCCATCACCTGAGACTTTCTGTTTGCTTATTTTGCTGTTGCTCCTGTGTTTGTTACAATTAAGAAAGGTACCATTAAAACATAAATCCACTAAATGTTTTTCATTCAGCAAAAGAGAAATATACACATTTACACAAATGAGCACTTGCACCTGCGTGCAAGAAAACCTATTTTTATTCTGTATGAGACTAGGCTATGATTAATATAAAAGTTTGTTAGAAGAAAAAGTAATTAAAATATTCAGAAAAAATGTCAACATGTTAAAAATATTCAAATGCTGACTTGGCATATCTTCTATTTTTGTAGGCAACTAATAAGTGGTACTTATGTTCTTTGAATATATCACTATTTTAGCTGCTGAAAGAAAATCCTAAACTATGATTCATCAATACCAGAAATACACAAGTGCAATAACAAAGAGTCCTGGTGTCTCCTCCCTATCCCAGAGAACTAAATAAATAAGGATTTGCAGACACAGAACAAGCTCAATCATTACCAGCTTTCACAAGTTCTATATCAGACAAATGGTAATTCTTACTTTGATGGTTCATCTTCCTCAGTTAAATCTTCTTCCAGCTGTAGAAATGTCTGAATCTTTAAAAACATAAATTATTTATGAGAATGCTGAAACGTTCATACAATTCAACCACAAAAAAGATATGCTTCACTTAGTGGAACCACAGAGTTTTAGTTTACTCTTATGACTTGCAACAAATTAGCAAATCATGCAAGAGATTACACTAGCAACAATAACAAAATTAATCAAAATGGTATTTCCTAATGACAATGTTAATAAATTATCAGACTAATGTAAAACTATGAAAACATTTATTTTTTCAAACAGATGTATTTGGGAGGAAGAGAAAAATGAAATGGGAAAAAACACACACTAATTAGTTTCAAATTACTACTTATTCCTTACCAATTCAGTTACCATAATTGGCCACAACGAGGTTAGATGCTGAGGAGAAATCCTTAACAAAAGAACTCTGAAGAAGAGAAACATCTGTGCAGCAACTATAGAAGTCTGCCCAACACGGAGGTTCTCAGTCAGTCGTTCTGAAATAAAAAATAAATAAAAAAAAAAAAGAAAGCATAGTATTTTCCTGAACATGTGCTCTTTTGGGAAATAAAAAAAATGTAGAAGGTGGCAAAACAAAATGTGTGCTTTATCGTCAGTTTTGCATTAAGTCCTTTGTACTCTGTTAACAAAATTGTGATTTAGAAAAAGTCTGAAGACATGGGGATTTTATATTCAACAAAATTTTGTCAAAACTGACATTTAAGGACAACAGCAACAGCCCAAGAAGGGCTGGAAGACTGCTACAAAATGATTATGTTTCCAGTTATATTTCCAGACCAAAGGCTATAGAACCTAGATTCCTGTCTCCTTCTTAATGAGATTATTTATTCACTGTAATTCAGAGATTCACAGCATCATAAATTTTGTTAAAAACTTTTTAAAAATGTAACTATGTGTTGGAAAATAGGTGACATTCCTTTCTCACATAATTTACGTATGTGTTATAGCTGAAAAAAAAAAAAAAAAGGCAGGTGAAATTACAAATCTTACCTTGTATTAAGGGAAGATAGAGATGATACTGGTCAATCTCTCCACTAAAGACAGCGAAAGCTTGCCGTTTTAACAACATTGCTTTTTGCTCAAAACTGGGGTACAGTTTTAAGGCGCTGCTCTGCATATCTATAACAGAGATAAGAGTTATCTGCCATATAAAGACATCTTGTATTTTGGCCTGAAAATAACTCCTAAGTCCTGAAATCTTTTAAAAAGAAAAACTCTCTTTGGGTCTACTGATTGGTGAATTATTCTCACATTATAAACTTTCAACTATTATTTTAGAAGATATGAAAAAGAGACTAAAGTTGCCTTTTCTTTTGAAGCTCTAGGCAAATTTAAGTAGTCCTATCCCACCCTTTTCCCCAGGACTTATTCTTCTGCACTCTCCTCAAGCCTGAGTTAGAGGTCAAAGCATAGTGCTCAAAGTTTTGCTGTATCACAGAATCACAGAATGTCAGGG